AATCAAATGAGGAGAGAGTAAGGCATTACATAGGAGACCCTCTTCTCATTTTATAAGATTTTTGGTCCTTTGGCATCATAGCACCTGTTCATGACAGTGGTGAACTAATTCTCTAAATATTTATTTATTTTACAATACTTGTGTAGCCTATTTTTAGCCAATTTGATCATTAAATCCACGTATGCGGTTTGCCTCTTGGTGTTATCTTTCTCAGTAATTGGAAACATTAATTTTCTGTGTCTTGGTAACACCTGAACCAAAAACATCTTGAGCAAAGCCAGAACACAATTTTTACATCTAATGCAGTTTGCAAAACAATAATGAGGCAAAGTTCACGATAAAAACTAATTTTAAAATCTTGCTTGCAACTAACAACAAAACAGACCTTCATATTAGCCTTGAAAAAATTGTATTTATTAACTTGCATTTTCATGACCTAAAGCCCCTCTTACAAACTAATTGGTAAATTTAGTTAATGTAATAAATGTAAAACAACTGTGATAGCTGTGCAATAGAAGGAATAAAGGGAGTTCAATGATGGAGGGAATGAGTCTTCTCAGTGTAAATAAACTACGAAAACTAGTCTTAGGCCACTGTATTCAACACATTGCATTATGCTCACAGTATAAAGGCTGCCGAATTAATGGATCTTCATAAATTAAGTACATGACAACACTAACCGACTGTCAGAAAAATACTAAATTAAATTCAAACATTATTATATTTTTATGTTTTTGCTACACATTTCATGTATTATTTCAAAGATCTGAAGTGCAAGGCAATCAAAAAGCAGAGATTAGGTGATTAACTGAATGGCTTTCTGATGAGATTTTGGAGCCCATTCATATCATTGTGAAGTGCAACAGATATTTTCTTACCTTTCTTCTCTCTTTCTCTCTCTCTCTGATTTTGTCCTTCAGAGGAAAATGACGAGGAAATCTCACACTAGAAGAGTTCTGACCCCGTTGTGCACAGAGATTAAGGTAGGAAACACGCTTCCTGTTCCCCCAGGAGCTTGAACATAACAGACAAACAATGAGTCATTGTGTACTGTATTTATATTTACATGTATTTATTTCTATACACATTATAAGCTGATTAGGATCTAAAATGATTTTAGAAGCTCATCTGCATACTTGTCTGAACAGCTGTTTTTACTGCTTCTAATTAATTTCACAAGGATCATAATTATTTCCAACATTTCAACATGAAAATGTTTGTTCACGTCTTAAGATAATGTTACCCTTAAATTTTTATTGTAAGTGCATATATATAAGTCAATGAGACTTATTATTATTATCATAACACTCTAATATTTGTAAAATTTAAATGGTTGCAATAAGACTTTTTGTCTGAAAACATTAAATCATTTTCTACATAAATGTCAGAGAAGTAGCTTTTTTGTTGCTGATAAATACTGTGGAAAAGATTTTATGTGCAATGATTTCAAAGCTCTTATTTAGAAAATAATCTAAACTCAAGATGAATGTTTGTTGGATAGATTGGTGTTGAGCAGCAGCTGAATCTTATGTTTCACACACTCAATATGTGTATTTAAATATGGTTGAAACAATGTGGTTTTCTCCGTGGTGGTGACAAAACTTCAGGGGTTAAAAATCACCATTTTTTTCATGGCTTTTGGGAATGAGATGCACTTTGATCATCAACAAACTTCAAGATCAAAAAGTAACGTCTTGTTAAGAAAGTCTGACAACTACTATATTTGTTTTGGAGATTAGAAGCTAACTGGCCAATTTTCTTAAGTATTTTGTTATTCCTTTAGCTAATGGCTGCTCATTTCGCGGGGGCATGCTTTGCTCTTTTATTTCTTTTTTTCTTCTCCTGTAACTTGTTAGAGTCTGAGCTTGACACTCTACACAACCCCAGAAAAAATATTCCACTAATCAGACAGCCAATTAAAAACCCCATCCAAAAAAGTTACTTCTTTAATGGAATGACCTGTAACTCTGTAGGCGTTATGTGTAATGTGTTTATTTATTTGGACTTCAGCCATTTACAAGTCACCATCAAACTTGTTGCTCTGATTACTTTTTTTTCTAGACTCAATATACTTGCTATGAAATAATGTCCAAGCTATGTGTGACACAATATGATCATCTGTTAATTGTAGGAAAAAAATCAGGAAATTAAGGTTTTCAGTAAGTGATAGTGGTTGCAAAGCATGTGTGTGTGTGTTTGTGTGTGTGTGTGTGTGCTTCTAAGAGACAGAAAACATGAATATTCTTGATGGTGACTGGTTGTGTGTCTGTTGCTGGTGTGGGGAAATTTGTGTTTCCATGGACTAACGGTGTGAAATTGTACACGAGAATGCATAGTGATACACGAGAGGATTATAATGAAGTTTTTGTGTTAGTAACCATGGCAACCACACGACCCTGTGTAGGTGGATGTTTGATGTTAAAGAAAGGGGGTGGTACTGGGAGACAGGAGGAAGGCAAATGTCAGCGAGTGCACACCGAAACTGGTCCAAAACTTTAAATACGCTGTGTCAAATTTACTAAAAGCTCCTCTGGCGTAGTCTGCAACTCTTATTTCCCTTTATGCTTTTCAAAGTTTACATTTTCTTGCTATCTATAGGCTACTGTACGTTTGAGTTTAGCGTGACATTTGGTTGTCTGCGTCCAAGAGCTAGTCCCAGATTGTTTTTTATAGAAATTATGATATTGGATAAACTTTATGTCTTTGTTTTGCATTATTTTAAAAATGTATTTAAAAAGTCAATACATCAGTCTTATCTCCGGCATCCCTCTCTCTGTGTCGATAAGTCTGTAATTTCTATAACTGCAAAAATAATCAAACAATTTTTTTCTTTTACAAAAGTTGAAAAAACTACTATGCAGTTGCAGTGTGTGTGTGTGTGTGTGTGTGTGTGTGTGTTTTGTGTTGTTTTAGATCTTTTAGTATTGAATTAGCAGTTCTCACAGCCTTCTCCTGTTCATATATCACCTACAACAAAAACACACATTTCCATATCACACACGACACATCATGCTTTGTAGTCTGAATAAAAAGCCTACTCTACATTTACATCAACAAAATGGCCAGCACACCTGGACACCAGTGTTATTTCTTTACACTAACAGAGAATCCACCTCTAACCATCACGGGAATCTTTTACCAAAACAGGGCTCTACATCTGCCAAAACCCGGGATCGAATCGGAGACCTTTAGATCTTCAGATCTTCAGTCCAAGATCTATCCCAAAAATGTTTTACAAAGATTTTACAAAGCAACAACTGTTTTCTGCTCAAAAGTCAGATGTATGGTTGCGCTTGGCCCAAAAGCTATTGACAGTGTCACAAATGTTTTACAGAGATTTCCAAGAGCAAGAAGTTTTTACATGACATTTGGGGATCTTGCTTTTTCTTTTAACATCTGAGTATGTACCTCTAACCATCACGGCAATCTTTCACCAAAACTGGGACCTACATATGCCGAAACCCGGGATCGAAC